TGGTTGTTTGTCAATGACCACACGACTTGGCAGTCACAAGCCTTTCAAAACACAAGAAGAAATCAAAAGCCTGCTAAGTCGAATACCTCAAGAGGAGACTTAGGCAAAAATCAAGGCAATCCCGATGGATCTGACGAAGCAAGATCAGTCCAAGCAAAAGTTAGGGATAAAAAACAAAACCAAAAAGAGGTCCTCAAACCCTCAATGATAAAAACAAAATAAGATTCAGTGGCCACCCAAATTAAGGGGCACTGACATCCATCAAAGAGCAAAATAAGGTGACTACCATCTCGAGCAAACCTTGAACCATCTAGCTTACACCGTCAAGGTAAGCTTTTGCAGAAGTAACTGAACGTAGGTATGGAGATTATAACGAAGAAGGGGTGGGTACAAATAATACTTTGAGCCTAATATCCTTTGTTTCTATAACCGTGAACCAGACCACGATACAACCCTCAAAAGACCTAATTGAGACGGGGTTTACTCTGAAAGCATAACTACAGCAAGGTTGCATAAACTGACTCCTACATATTTGCTAATCTTATGCATTGGTGTCATATTCTTGCTATATCTTTCACACCAATTAAATCAGCATTGCGTTTGGATTAACAGTCCACTCGTCACACATTTTCACATCATTCCCAATAAATGATATTTTCAAAACTTGCACGAATGTCGCATTAAAATTACCATTTTTGAATAAACACTTTTAACTGCAAGTCAGTACTTGGCATTATAGAAATTCCAACAAAGAACAGTCAAAGAGGAACTTGATCACTCATTGGTGTTGACCTGAATTAAGACTTTCTCCTAACCCTACGAATCTGGGGCAAGCCCTTCTGAGGTTTAAACCGGGGCAGACCACTGCAAGGCCCAGACACTGGGACAAATGTGTTCAAGCCATATCCTGGTATGATCACTGCCAAAGCTCTCATCCCAGAAGAGAGTCCTCCAAAACACCCGACAGACTGGGGAAAACTGGTTGAACTTGGGGCAAACTAGCTGATGGTTGAGGTCAACAAGCGCCAAAGGCCTTGGGGCAGAGCAAAAACACGACTAATACACATTGGTTAAGTCGCTACGCTCGCGCAACCCAAACACATTGGTTAAGTTGCTATGCTCACGCAATCCATATGCATTGGTTAAATCGCTACGCTCGTACGACTAACACGCGTTAGTTAAGTCGCTACGCTCGTACAGTCAAAATGCTCTGGATGAGTCGCTACGCTCAAAACTAGTAAGCTGTCATGATATATCAGCTAGAAGCTAGGTTCTTACCAGAACGAGTATACCACTTCTGCAAAGGATCCAACAAGGGGCAGGCTACCCAGAGTTTCGTTTGATTAAGGGAGAGTCCCTTCAACGCTCAATCAACACAAGTCATGTCGCTTCAACGCTCATTCTGGAGCAGACTACTTCAAGAATAATTTGAAGCCAATTACCCCAAGGGTCAGTTAATCAAGGTCAAAACCCTTTCCTGACTAAAATTTGCATCAAACCATCTCGAGATCATCTCATGGTATATCTGTTTCCAATTTCCTTTCACGACTTGGAATGGTGGGGCAAGCCATCTCGAGTTCGTCTCATGGTATGATTGCTTCCAATTTCCATTCAAGGGAAATTCCTTCATAAACCCAAACTGGGGCAAGTTGAACAACATTGGGGCAGTTACTCAAGCAAGTTTATTCTCGTCAGCAAAAGTCGAGTGTCGGGGAATCATGCCATCCTCCCACCAAATAACCTTAACTTCCTGAAAAAGCCTCTCTGTCTTTGGGTTTCACCCCCACGACCTGGACCTGATACCTGTCAGAGTTTTGTAACCGAAACAAATCCTTCAAAGTCCCGTTCTCGTCTGGCAAATCATTCTAAAGTCCAATCCTTTATTGGCAACCACAAAAAGCCACTCCAATTGGCACCTTCAATTCACCTTAAAAGTCCAGTATTCATTGGCAACCACTAAAAGTCCACCCTCGCTGGCATCCTCATAAAACCAAAGTCCAAATCCATTTGGCAACTACCGAATCCAATCCTTGATGATGTCCCCGACAGGATTTTATCCCCAGCATACCTGGTCGCTGCATTATCATAAGCACGATATACAATATCGCATCATATTATCGTCATATCGAGCATTAACATATCATTGGCATTCGCATCGTGCACTTCCTAGCAGTTGCATCTTAGTTGCATGTTTGGGCATCATAAAACATTACATTGCATAACAATATGGCAGGATCCAGGATCAGTTCGCGAGTATCTTGGTCAGTCCTCCAGTGAAGTTGGCAGTATGACTCTGAAAAGAGTTAATACCTCACGAGTTCAGGGAATTCTACTCCCCAGCAAGTCAGTCTTCAACCATGCAGTTGATGATGATGATCCCCAGCAACTATTGCTCTAGTGTCTCCCCAAGCAGAGGTTATCCTCAAAGGAGTTTCTTGAAGGCTTTCTCCCCAAGCAGAGGTTATCCTCAAAGGAGTTTCTTGAAGGCTTTCTCCCCTGCAGAGATTGGACAACGCTGTTCCTTTAAATAGGAATTTTAGCTCAACTATTCCTCAGCAAAATTATCACTCGAGATACTGCTTTGGTATCATCGAAGAGCCTTAATGGATAAGGTACTGCTTCGATCACCCGAAGAATCTCAAGTTTTGTTCGAGATACTGCTTTGGTATCATCGAAGAGCCTTAATGGATAAGGTACTGCTTCGATCACCCGAAGAATCTCAAATTTTGTTCGAGATACTGCTTTGGTATCATCGAAGAGCCTTAATGGATAAGGTACTGCTTCGATCACCCGAAGAATCTCAAGTTTTGTTCGAGATACTGCTTTGGTATCATCGAAGAGCCTTAATGGATAAGGTACTGCTTCGATCACCCGAAGAATCTCATGTTTTCTTCGAGATACTGCTTTGGTATCATCGAAGAGCCTTAATGGATAAGGTACTGCTTCGATCACCCGAAGAATCTCATGTTTTCTTCGAGATACTGCTTTGGTATCTTCGAAGAGCCTTAATGGATAAGGTACTGCTTCGATCACCCGAAGAATCTCATGTTTTGTTCGAGATACTGCTTTGGTATCATCGAAGAGCCTTAATGGATAAGGTACTGCTTCGATCACCCGAAGAATCTCATGTTTTGTTCGAGATACTGCTTTGGTATCATCGAAGAGCCTTAATGGATAAGGTACTGCTTCGATCACCCGAAGAATCTCATGTTTTGTTCGAGATACTGCTTTGGTATCATCGAAGAGCCTTAATGGATAAGGTACTGCTTCGACCACCCGAAGAATCTCAAGTTTTGTTCGAGATACTGCTTTGGTATCATCGAAGAGCCTTAATGGATAAGGTACTGCTTCGATCACCCGAAGAATCTCATGTTTTGTTCGAGATACTGCTTTGGTATCATCGAAGAGCCTTAATGGATAAGGTACTGCTTCGACCACCCGAAGAATCTCAAGTTTTGTTAGAGATACTGCTTTGGTATCATCGAAGAGCCTTAATGAATAAGGTACTGCTTCGATCACCCGAAGAATCTCAAGTTTTGCTCGAGATACCACTCTGGTACCGCGAAGAACCTTATTGGATAAGGGACTGCTTCGACCACCCAGGGAATATCAGGTTATCTCGTTCATCTATTTTGCATCTTGTCATCCCGTTCAGGTATATCCCACCTCTTTGCATTTTTTTTTACTTCCTTGTCGGACAAATTTTGGGGTCTTCTTGTATCTAATTGACTTCCACCCTAAGAATGAACGCCATGCAGTTGTTCATTCCCTCAGGTTCAAGGCAATTAGATAGGGGCATCTGTCATACCCCAAATTTGTCCTACCTTTTTTCAAAATTCTCATTTGCCCGACTTTGTTTTTAATTTACCTCGCTTATACAGCGTAGCGTATTTTTCAGCAAAAACGGGCATTTTCGCTTTTTTAGCCCAATAAGGGTATGTCACGTGACATTTGTTTTTTATATGTATACCTGTTTTTGTATATAATTTCTTTTTTTTCTCGTGATAGGTTAATATATTGTTTTTTTTATTTTTTAATTAGTTTTGAAGTAGAAATTAGGATTTAATTGTTTTAATTAAATAGATTTAATTTAGAGTTTAATTATAATTTAGAATTTTTTAATTTAAAAAAATATAGATTAAAAAATAGAGTTAGAATTTAATTAGGATTTATTTTTAAAAAAATTAGATTAGATTTTAATTAATTAATTTAGATTTAAATTTATAATTAATAGTTAGAATTAAAAATAGGTTTATTAATTTAGTTTACTATTCAAAAATTAATTAAAAGAAAAATAGTAAAAGATTTTGAATACACGGTCAATTGGATTAGGGTTGAGAAGTAGTATAAATAGGGGACACTGTTCACCCTAACCCTAAACGGCCGCCCCTAATTCTGAAGGGCAACCCTAGAAACTATCCCCAATTCCAACAGAAAAAACCCTAAAAATCACTGTTCATCTCTTTCCCCCTCTCCCAAATTCGCCACCTTCCTCAATCGCCGTTCCAAAACCAACTCTTCTATCTCCTCTTCATTTCCCCTTCGTCTCAATCAAAATACCACCTTCTCCGTCACCGCAACCTTCTTCTCCGATTTCTCCCTCCGTTTTAAACTCCTTACTGTCTCGAAATCCCTCGCCGACCACCACCCTTGAATCCTTTCTTCATCCCTCAAACACCATCATCCTCAACTGAACCCACTATATCCGACGATACTAATCACCGCTCTAACACCAGAGATAACCTTGCAAGCCCAAAGTTTTTTTTTCTCTCTTTCCAGCTCGACGGAAACCATAATAATAGAGACGACTGCAACACGAACAACGCGAGATTTGTTTTAATTTCATGTCAACAACATCATAACTTCAACAAGCATAACTCACCAACAACAGTTTTTGAGCAAACAACTCAGTGATTACGCAACAGCTTCTCGCTTCCCGGTTCTACAACGTCACCGCCGTTCACATCGACGAACGGCTTTCTGTTTCACTTCCCGTTCAGATGGGGAGAAGACGTGTCACCAGTGAGAATTCTGGGGCGGCTTCGTCGTTGAAGCTTCGTTATGTTAACCATAAGAATGGATCTTCCTCTGAGGATAGTGAATTTGATTCGTTGTGTTTGTCTGATACTGGATTGGCTGCTCTTGCTGATGGGTTTCCCAAGCTTGAGAAGTTGAGGGTTGTTATGTTAGAGATCAAGGCTTGGCTGCTGTTGGACAGTGTTGCAAGCAACTTGGGGATTTGAATTTGCGTTTTTGTGAAGGCTTGACTGATAAGGGCTTGGTTGATTTAGCTCTAAGTGTGGGGAAATCGTTAAAATCTCTCGGTGTAGCCGCTTGTGCCAAAATAACTGATATCTCAATGGAAGCTGTAGCATCGCACTGTGGATCCCTTGAGATTTTGTCTTTGGATTCAGAGTTCATCCACAATTAAGGGGTGCTTGCGGTGGCTAAAGGATGTCCATATTTGAAATCTCTAAAGCTGCAGTGTATTAATCTTACAGATGATGTTTTGAAAGCTGTATGCGTTAGTTGTTTGTCTCTGGAGTTATTGGCTCTGTATAGTTTTCAACGATTTACTGATAAGGGTTCGTGTGCTATTGAGGAAGAATACTGACATTTGCCTCTATTCACAATGGTTTTGGGTTGTGCGTAAATTTCATTAACATAAGCAACTACAACATACTCAACTGCAAGGAAGACGAACTCAACAACAACTCAGTTGCATTCACGACTCCGCGATTGATATTCGCACCAGCAACAACGAAATAGAACTGCAACATCCGTAACGGCGACAATAACTTGGAGCGACGCTGAATGACGGTTTAATCAGCGGTGCCGACAACAAGTCTTTGGAGATGTATGAAGACAATGCAGAGCTACAGCGCGAGCTTCATGCACGTGGACAAATCTGTGAGAGCTTAAAACAACGTGCCTGCGATGCTCAGTTGGAGAAAGATCAATTGATGATGAAAATAGAAGCAGCTCGAAATGGTAGATCTTGGGATGAGATTGACTCCAGTTCAAATCAGGATTTGTGACCTGATGAAGTCTTATGTTTCAAAGATCCATGATTTGGAAGAAGAATTGTTGCGTTTGAAAAGTTTGAATGTGAAATCAAGCAATTTTGCTGATTGGGTTGATTCGGATGATCTCGAATTCCAGCCAAAGAATGGTTTATTTGCAGGTGGCAATGAGTATTCTTCTGATTGTGATGTCAAACCCGTGGGCATAACAGATGATGTGGAACAGGTGGATGTTCGTGAAAAGGAGTTAGAACACTCCTCTGCTCAAGAAAAGTTGGATAGGGAACTCAAAGAATTGGACAAGAAACTTGAACAGAAGGAGGCTGAAATGAAGCTGGTATTGGTTGCCTTGATACCTTCACATCCTTCAAAACACAACAAGCTTCGTCGCGAGCGTTAACAATAAGATGCGTTGATTTCACCAACTGAACTCAGCAAACCAAGATTATTTTGAAGATCTCATCTCTGCAAAAGCATCAACATTTTGTTCCTGGTTCAAGTCAACAATGTTGTGTCGGCATCAGCGACATTATTTCGGTGTTCATGAGAAAGTTAAGTAGTAACAACTCTGATTTGATTCAGACTTTACAACCAACAACACCAACGCAACCGGTGGCAATAGGAAATTGACAGCTTCAGTTTCGGCTTGTTACGAAATCTTTTGGTACTGCTGCTAATGTTCATCACACGATTTCAACAACCGTGTATACAACATCAACAACTCTAATCATCTACCTACAAGTTGATTGCGACATGTTCGATATCAGTATGTGAGCTTGGAGCTTATAGCTGTTTCGATTCCAATGAGAGATCTGCAGTTAAGCTCTCACTCTGGTTATATGGCGTCGACTTCGGAAAAAGAATGGACACACTGCACAACATGTTTGCTGGGTAGATAAATTGGCTAATCGAACAATGCGGTCCTGTCTCTCAAATGCTGTCAAAGTACAGGCTCAAGAATTGACGAAAGAAGATTTCAAAGGCTCCAATTGGTTGGTTTTAAGATATGCAATACTCAATTTAGAAGCTATTCAAGCAGCCATTGCTTTGGCCAAACAGGAAGGTCTTCTTGTTTCCTTGGACTTGGCCAGTTTTGAGATGGTTAGGAACTTTAAATTACCGCTTCTGAAGTTGCTGGAATCTGGAGACATAGACCTCTACTTTGCCAATGAGGATGAGGCAACAGAACTTTTAAGGGGCGAACAGAATGCTGATCCAATAGCCGCAGTAGAATTTCTTGCCAAATACCGCCAATGGGCTGTGGTAACATTGGGCTCTGATGGATGCATTGCTAGACATGGGAAGGAGATGATACGTATCCCGGCAATAGGAGAATCAAAGGCAACTGATGCTACAGGAGCAGGAGACCTTTTTGCAAGTGGATTCTTGTACGGAGTAGTTAAGGGTTTGTCACTAGAAGAATGCTGCAAAGTAGGCACATGTAGTGGTGGATCTGCCATCCGCTCTCTTGGTGGTGAGGTAACATTAGAGAATTGGCAATGGATGTACAAGCAGATGCAAGTGAAGGGTCTTCCCACTCCCGAGGGCTTATGAAAATGAGTCTTGGCAACTGTTGCATCACTTATTGTTTCCTTCTTTCTTTTTTTTCTTTTGCTCTGTTTCTTTCAGTTATAGTTTATGGCTGGTTTGACTATTGCATGGAAGGCTAGATACTTTTTGTGAAAGCACAGGCCAAGATTCAGAAGCTTCTAACGGCGTTATAGCTATTGGTTTACCGCAACAAAATTCCTCAATGCTGAATCACAACGACTCTCGACAGTTCAAGTAAGAACGAGTTTTTCTTTCTTTTCTATTTGGCTGGCTGTTGATGTTGCACAGGTTGCGGCCCGGATCATCGATTATGCAGAAGAACAACATCATAGCATCAAACAGATCCCAACGGTGATGTTTAATCTAGGATTTGGACTCAATATTGGCTTACGTCGCGGCTTCTGCACATTGAAGAAGTAGCCACCGTTTCCTCACATCCGAGAAATGGCGTTCATGATGTCGAAAGCAGACAAGTGGTAATAATATAACCTCGTTCCGACATTGAGTTCGACATCGACATCGTAATTTTACGTGGGGTATTTTTATGAATCTGACTTTTATTTTTCAAGCTATTGATGTCACTAAGTTTATTTTCAGCATATTATTCTTCCTACTGGTTTGATTTGCATTATGTTGAACTAGAAAATTGGTTGTGAAATCAAAGAATCATATCATGAAAATGATGGTGCACGTTTGAGTATCAAGTGTGATGTGTTGTGCTTTTGATTCATTGGTTTTGATTGTGAATGGCGAGTTAATGTTAAAAGTTGTTGTTGTTTATTTCAAAGGTATCAATTAGGATTTTAGCTCGGTTTCAATCTTGGTCGGTGTTTCGGTTGAGCTAAGATGTTTGTTGTTCATATCTAGTTTCTGTTTGGGACTTGATAGCATTTGTCTGCTTGTGATACTGTGTTGTATTATGATTCAAATCATCTAGCTATTTCTTTCTGTGTTCATTCATGACATATTGATTTGGATATACTTGCTTCACTTTGTTCTAATATTGTGAGATTTGTTGACGCTAAATGCGTAGCTTTGATTGTCGGCTGTGATGTTGAGGCCGTTTCGATTATGTTGGGGATGCTTTGGGTCATACAGTTGTCATATGATGTAGGGATGTGATAAGGTCTTGTTGTTTTTTTAATTTTGGATTGGATAAGATCTTGTAGGGATGTGATACGATGTAGTTGTTGTTGGTGATGTTTCTGCATTTTCGATTATGCTTCGATGTCGGTGTATTGTTATTGCTGATGAGTGTTGTTTTTGAATTAATTTTAAACTAATTACGGTTTACGGAATGTATATGTGTGTCATGCCACTAGCTTCATGTTCACGTTTGTTTATAAACCATGTTTTAGCATAAGCTGTGGTTTGAATATTGTATCAACTTCGCTGGTTATTGTTCAAAGAAAGTTGGGTTCCGTTTTGAATTCGTAAACATTGTGATAATTTGTTTTTCGCTTTGCTTGCCGAGTGTTATTTCTTTGACAAATAATTTCAACAGCATTGGTAATAATTGGATTTACATTGTTTCTTGAACTAGATGTATAAGCTGCTACTGTTGCTTCATAGTCAACATTCAGGTTTGAGAAAACCAGTTGTGCAGTGATATAGACTGCTCTTTTATTTTCAGCTTTCATGTTGGTTCCCTGTACTGCTTTCTTTTTGTGTGATCATTTGCGTGCAGGTTGAGAGGGAATTAATAATATTGGTTCAATTCAAACACCAACAACAACATTGCTACAACTGCAGCAATACGGTTGCGCCATCGCCAGAATTTCGATTATGCAGAGAAGCTTGAAGCATCATTATTTTGGGATCCTTTTGAGTTGTCATCATAAGTCGGTTGAGAGGCGATTAGCGATGTTTGGTTTGTTTCAGTTTCAACAAGCAACGTTGATACAACAATTGACACTGCAACCATGTCAGTGTCGATACATGTACAGCAACAGTTCAACAACAAATTCAGCAATAACAATGTCGTGAAAATCTCGTCGGTAAATCCTTAAATCCTTGCTCTTTGGTTCAATTGTATATCAGCACTCGATTGGGCTTGTTTGCTACTGGAGATTCAATGTATTTGTCTTTATTTTCAAAGCATTGTGTGGTTGTTTTTGTTCTAAAATTTTGTCGAATATCCGACGTGACGTCGTTAATATTCAAAGCTGATTGTGAATTAATAATGTTAGTTCTGAGTTGGTAAACTGGCTGCTGTTTTTAATTAATAATCTTAGTTCTAATTTAGTAAATTAGCTTTTGTTATGAATTAATAAATAGTATTAGTTTTTTAGTTAGTAAATTCTATAATGTTATAAATTGATGATTTTGGGTTATGGTAAGTGATTTAAGTATAATAAACAATTGCAATAAGTTATTCAAACCTTTAGTTTTATTTCAAATTCAATTAAATATTTTTTCAATGCGATTAATCAAAACATTTTCTTAATTAATAACGAAAGTAGTGGGTTCTTAGGGTCTAGCATCCTTTGAGTCTTTGAACAACCGCTCTCGAGGCGTACGCCCTCGAGTTGTGGTTGTTTCGTCTTTCGGTTTTCAAATCGTTTTTTTCTCAATTAAAACTTCTAAAAAGATATTTTTAAACATTCTATAAATATTTTTATAAAAAATATATTTCAAAATTATTACTAAATAAATATTTTAATATTAAACTTTTAAAAAAATATACTTTATTAATTAAGTCAAGATCTTTTTCTAAGATATTAAACTTTTCTCAAAAAAACAATTAATTATAACTAGTTTTTATCAAAACCTTGTTATGGATTTTATTTTATATATGAAAATTAAAAACATTTTTATTAATTAAATCAAACTATCTTCCTAGAGTAAATTTCAAAACAATTAAATTCTTGGATCTCGCCTTCCTTGAATTTTTTAAGCGACCGCTCTCGAGGTGCACACCTCGAGTTGTGACCCTTTCGATCTTATTTTCTAGAGTACATGGCACGCCTAGTCCGAGTACGCGAATCCATTCAAATTATTTTTCTAAATTAAATCACGAAAGAATCGAGTTCTTGGAGTCGCGCATTCCTTGAATTCGAGTATGATCACTATTGAGGCGTACGCCTTGTATGGTGTGCCATTCAAACTTTCGTTTCTAAAATACCTCCTTTAATTATTTGGACAAGTACCCTCACTGTCCAGCAAACACTATTTTATAATTAATGGGATGAAAAAGATTGTCGTTGGGATCTAGCATTCCAACGATATCCCGACTAATTGATTACGAGGCCGACGTCTCGTTTATCGAGTAGTCGTCATTCCTCCTAATTTTTCAACCCGCGTAACCTCATTTCTCACCCTCAAGTGATTGAATCAAAATCTCTTTCAATTCAAACTGTTTCGCGTCTAAACTGTCTATCAAACATCTTTCGAATGAAAAAGGTATCGTTGGGATCTAGCATTCCAACGATATCCCGATTAATCGATTGCGAGACTGGCGTCTCGTTTATCGAGTAGTCGTCATTCTCTCCTAAAATATTCGACCCAACTTTCTTCTCTCGCCCCGTGCGATTGAAACTTTCTCAAACACATATTTCGTAATTATCCGAATGAAAAAGGTGTCGTTGGAATCTAGCATTCCAATGATACCCCGATTAATTGATTGCGAGGTTGACGGCTCGTTTATCAAATACTCGTCATTCTCCGTCAAAATTGCCTAACCAATCTCCTCTTTCTCGCCCTCGTGTGATCGAAACCTTAAACTTATTCAAATATATTCTCTAACCAAAAACATCCAATACGATAAACTAAATTCCTCGCCCTCGTGCGATTTCCAACCAAAAACAACTCTTCTCAAAGAACATTGTTTAGTCCCTTCTTCCGCACATAACAAACTCGTGCTTCAAGCCTCCCCTAGCAAGCAGACAAGCCAACGTTTAGCAGTTAGAACGCGACCTAAACACTCGTTCAATTTCAAACCTTTTACCGTAGTTAGCCGAACTACGGCTGCTCTGATTCTTCATTCACTTCTGAATGTAAGATACTTAGGCACAAGATTGCGATGATCTTGGCGAGCACAATCCCCTCTTTACCCGTAGTCCCACGAACTACGAATGCTCTGATTTTCCACTTCTTACAAGTGAAGATACGTAGGCACAAGGGCCCTAATCCTTGGCGAGCACCCTATCCTATAACCATCCATTCCCCCCATAGGAGAAACCTTAGAAGAAAACAAATAAGCATAGTTAACTTTACTCTCGAATCGATCAAGAGGTTCCCGTTGAGTACAACGAACATGAGGGGTGCTAATACCTTCCCCTCATGTAATCGACTCCCGAACCTAGAATATTGGTTGCGATGACCATGTTCTTATCTCTCTAAAGGTTTTATCGATATTTTCCTATTCCATCCTTGGAATGAATAAAGTTCGGTGGCGACTCTGTTTTGAACAGTATTTTTCCGCGGCCATCGCGAGGATCGTATTTTTCGAGGTACGACATTCTGCGCATATGCACTAGTGCTTCAGCCTCCCTTAGCGAGCAGACAAGCCAACATTTAGCAGTTAGAATGCTACCTAAACACTCGTTCGCTAAAAACATAAACCAAAAAACTGTAGTCTTCTAAATTACAGACACTCTGATCTCTCATTTGTCAATGAGAATACGTAGACATAGAATTGCGAGATCCTAGCGAGCTACCTTTTTCTTTTTACTTCAAACCTTTATATGTAGTCTCGCGAACTAGAATGCTCTGACTTTCCCTTGCACGAGGGAATATGTAGCCACAAGGGCCCCAATCTTTGTCGAGCACCCTGATATAAAACCACTCATTTTCCCCTTAGAAGCGAATCTTTTAGAAGATAAACAAACTTAGCTAACTTCTCTCACGAATCGAATCAAGAGGTTCCCGTTGAGTACAACGAATGTAGAGGGTGATAATACCTTCCCTTTGCGTAATCGACTCCCGAACCTAGAATTTGGTTGCGATGACCATGTTCTTATCTCTTTAAAGGTTTTATCAATATTTTCCTATTCCTCCCTTGG